ATACACACACACACACACACACACCAAAATGCAGTTGCATGTCAGAGTGCAGTGATGTTGGTCCTTTTCCAGAGACTGAAGTACACAGCCGCCATGCACGGGCCGACAGTGCACTGAGCCAACGCAAAGCAACACACACTCACCACCAAGACGCAGTGCATCAACACACACACAGCAGAGACCGTACCTAAAAATCTGCCTCCGCTTTTGGGAGGACGAAGAGTAGCCGTCAATGGACAGTCTGTAGGGTCACATCGGAGAAAACAGTGTCCGTGGGTTACAGGAGGAGTGTGTGTGTGTGTGTGTGTGAGAGAGTGTGTGTGTGTGTGTGTGTGTGAGAGAGAGAGTGTGTGTGTGTAGGGGACCCACACATGAAAACCACACTCATTCTACAGTGTTACAGGTCTAGAAGAAGGACTGCAGTGATTTTGACTCTGTCCTTCCGTGAAAGGAAAAGAAATGCACACAAAGCATCATCGCTGATCATGCATGTGCATTTCATGCTTTGAAAACATTTGTTTTCGTGTGATGTATTCATCACTACTGTTTATTCTGATGATTAAACGTGTCACTAAGCTCACATTATCTACAGACGGATACATAGATGAAGGGTTTTTGACGAGTGAGTTGTGATAGCTGTGAAATCATCAATTAAACTGCACATTATATGTGACCCTGGGCCACAAAACCAGTCATAAGGGTCAATTTTTAAAAATTGAAATTTATACATCAACTGAAGCTGAATAAATAATCTTTCCATTGATGTATGGTTTGTTAGGATAGGATCATATTTGGCTGAGATACAAAAAATATATAAAATATTTGTATAATAATATAAAATATTATGAGATAAAAAATCTAAATATTGAGAAAATCATCTTTAAAGTTGTCCAAATGAAGTTCTTAGCAATGCATATTACTAATCAAAAATGAAGTTTTGATATATTTACGGTAGGAAATTTACAAAATATCTTCATGGAACATGATCTTTACTTAATATCCTAATGATTTTTGGCATAAAAGAAAAATTTATAATTTTGACCCATACAATGTATTGTTGGCTATTGCTACAAATGGTTAATTTACAGCTTTTTTTGTAAAAACAACTAAGTAATAGAAATCTTGCAAAAAGAGTTGAATATTAAATTGTTACATTGTAAAACTGTATTCCAGTATTAGTTACATCAGAGCTTTAAAAAAAAATGTAAATAATAATCATCATAAATCATAATCGTAGTACTAAATCAATTAAAAAAAGAACATTGTTGTTAAATTATAACACTGAGCTTTTTTGTAAAGAGAACTTAAAATAATAATGAAATAATAAATAATAGAAATCTTGCTAAAAATAAATATTGAAAATAGTTAAAAGAGTTGAACATTAATTTGTTAAATAGTATCGCGGTATTCCAGCATTAGTCACATGAGTGCTTCATCCACAAAAAAAAAAAAATTCTAAATAATAAAAATCTTGCTAAAAATAAATAGTTCATGTCTTACCTGTTATCATTGATGTATCCATTCTGTGAGGACTGTAACGAAAAATTTACAAAAGTATGAACATTTAACAAAGTGTAAAAAAACAACAGAGCAGAACAGAATAAAACAACAAAAAATTATTCTGTAATGAAAACGAATGCGCCTCACATTACAACCAAGACATTGTCTATAGAGTTCTTCTGCTTTGTCTTTTTCACAAGGCTAACATGTAAATGGATATGTAATGCATATCTCACTAAATGACCAAATTCTTAAGTTGTATTGTGTTGTCTAATTCATGTTTTATTTTATACATTGGCTTCAAATCAGATTTTGTATTCCTAATTTTACATCAAATCACAGGAAATATGACTCTATATGCAAACCTGCAATAATTATTACATTTAACTTCCCATGCAGAATTAAAAACGTGTAAGCCAATTCACGGAGTGAATTTCATTTTACATTAAATGTGACAATAATGCCAAAATATGTGTTAGAACTAGGTCTATATCACTCATAATTTTACTAGTAACAATAGTTTTCTATCACTTTATGGCATAATGCACACGTCTTAAAATGTAATCTAAGCATTCGAAGTTAACACTGGCTGGTACTGTACAGTAAAAAGCAAGCACACTTCAAGCGCTGCTGTCATCGTAACAGTGGTCAAATAGCTGGAACATTACACAAATGTGAGCCTGGAGCACAAAAGCAGTGTTAAGTCGCTGGGGTATATTTGTAGCAACAGCCAACAATACATTGTATGGGTCAAAATTATACATTTTTCTTTTATGCCAAAAATCATTAAGATATTAAGTAAAGATCATGTTCCATGAAGATATTTTGTAAATTTCCTACCGTAAATATATCAAAACTTAATTTTTGATTAGTAATATGCATTGCTAAGAACTTCATTTGAACAACTTTAAAGATGATTTTCTCAATATTTAGATTTTTTTGCACCCTCATATTCCAGATTTTCAAATAGTTGTATCTCGGCCAAATATTGTTCTATCCTAACAAACCCATACATCAATGGAAAGATTATTTAAATGATGCATAAATCTCAATTTTGAAAAATTGACACTCAATTGACACTTGGTTTTGTGGTCCAGGGTCACATTTAGGCTATATGATGAATAATTACAGATGAAATATTATAATGCTTTAGTAGCCTATTATTGTAATATCACTGATTTATTTCATTGGGTTTTTTTTATCTTTAGGCTATTTTCAAGTGAAAATGTCACAATTCCAGCTTTCTTGAGCAATGCTGTCAAGCGTCCTTTTGCGCCACCTGGTGGTGATTTCGCTAACGAGTTGCACATGTGACTGTTTTATTTAATTATGGTACTGTACTAATTATTCCAGAACTGTTCCTCAGAAAACAAGCTGCTTTGAAACGATCTGTAGTGTGAAAACTGCTACACAAATGAATAAGGAAATTGAAATCTGGCCAGAGTGCATGCGTGTTGCGTTTTTTATAAGCCTGTGTTCTTACTTCTCGTGCAAAGATGCGATCTCTGACGCGCTGGTACTCCTCCTCTCGCTCCTCGATGGACTTGCTGCGGCGGCCGTCTTGCAGCGGTACCCGGATCTGAGACGCGAGACAATCAGATGCACGACCGAAATGTGATGCAAGAGTGAAACGGTGCGACACACAAACCTGATTATCGTCTTTATCCATGCTGGCATCGTCTCGCTTCAGGATGAACTTCTTCTGGAAGTCCATGTTGCGCTCATCTTTAATGTGCTCCGAGAACCTCTGCTCGGGGCTGAAACACACAGAGTCTGATTACTTTAACAGACGATGCATTATGATCACTCCCATCATCCACTGCTGTCTTACATGCGTGTGTTGCTGGTCTTGTTGATGATGACCGCTTTGCCTGTTTGGTCCACGTTGTGATCCATGCCAAAGTAGGCAGCGACCCGATGCAGCAGCATGCGATGATATGAGGTCATTTGAGGAAACTTCTTATACTGATTACTGAAAAAACAGATGCAAAAACATTTTCCACTGCTGCACAACTCTTCATGATAATAACAGGAAAAACTGAACAGAACGGTTTAATAAATAAATTATCCTATATAAACAATTGTAATAGAGTGCAATGCTCACAAACCACCAAAAGGGGGCAACAAATATTAACTACACGATAAAGGAAAAAACAGCAACATGTACTATGGAAGAAAAAAAGACATATTCTCATATACACACTTTAATAATCTCAATTACATATTTTTTAATGTGAAAAAAAAATCACATAATTTGAGAGAATATATATAAATATGTAAAATATATAATTATTATTATTATTTAATTTTACATAGATGTTGTTTATATTATAATATATAAATATTATATAGAATACAAATTTAAAATAAATGTAACAAATAATTGTATAAAACATATGAAACATAATATATTTATTATTATTTTATATTTAATATTTAATTTAATATTGTATATTTATTTGACAATATAGATAGATATATTTATATTATATAATAATACATAAATAATATTATACATAATACATTTTAACAAATTTAAATTGTTACAACCACACCTGTTTGTATACATAAAAAATACTTAACATTTAAAACACATGTAAATCAGATATGTAACCATTTACTATTATTATATTTAATTTAATATTTATTTAATTTATTTTAATTAAATATAAATGATATATAGACTTACTTCTCATCATTAATGAACTCCAGTATATCCTGTTCCAGCTTGAGCAGCATCATTCTGTCTCTAAAAGAGTAAAGGAGGATTTACAGCTAAAACTGATGCAGAAAACAGAAAAACATTGCATTCAGAATCACATACTTCACTTTGCTGACGATGAGCACAAGTGAAGGTACACACATTATCATATGCAGCATGTCCTATAACTTCCTATGTTATACAGAGAATACTAATCTTGATACTACTGAACACTTAATCACATAATACTAGTGGTCGACCGATATATCGGCCGATATTTGGCATTTTTCAAATATCGGCCGATAAGTTTTTCTGTTTGGCCAATGCGCTCGAGTCGGGACGTTTATTTTGACGGCGCTGAGAGCGGCAGCGCACACAGTGCTCACATTCTCCCTCTTGTTCGCTGTCGTCGTTAACAGTACTGTCTATTACGGATAGAAGTCTGTCTAATAATCCGATATAACTGTTAAACAAAGGAATTAAAATGTATACAAAAAGTATTATAACGATTGCTTATATATTATTAGTAATAGAAAGGCAAACATTATAATACTTTCTCGTTTGCCGTCAGCATTCAGCAAATACGCATTTACATCATTTAAACAAATCTTTGAATGGCTAATGAACATTTAATTTCGCAAACTTAGTCGAATCCAGTTGTGAGATCGTGTGAAGTGTGACCTGCATGATCGCGTGTTCTCTGCGTGACTTTCGGTCCGTGCAAATGCTTTCAAATTATGCTACGCTTTATGCATTTGCCCACTGTCATATTCATGTCATTTTCTCGGCCACACTGCTTTCCAAGATATCGGCTGTCAAAAAAACAATATCGGTCAATCACTACATAATACTCATGCAAGCATTGGCATATAAATACATTTCCTTAAAACCAATTACTAATTCACATTTAGACTGAAAATCCCTTTCTGAACTCTTTCTCTCGGTACTGAAATCCGGGTTCCTTCAGCACACTAACTACTATGATTTAAGCCTCACTTCTTCTCGTATACTACTTAGGACAGATAGTATGTGATTTGGGATGCAGCCTCGTACCTGGGGTTGTTTTTCAGTGTGTTCACCAGGAACTCGTGCACATCAATCCCTGTGGAGTCAGTGTATTCCTGACTGGAGTCTGGAAGAGAACAGACAACGGAGTCAGAATCAGATGCGAACGTCTCTGTGAATTCATGAAGCAAGTCACCGAGTTCAACAGAAGCCATTACTTTTAACTTTCTATAGTGTTACAATATTTTGTTGCACTTTTTCAGCGCCGCTTGTTCCGGAAGTATTGTTCCCGTTCATTTTCCCCATAGGAATTCATAAAGTCTTATGACGAGTCAAAGACGAGTTTTTACAGCTTTCCGTGTTTTCACTGTTATACACTCGGGGGCGCTATTACGCATCTTCTGAACGAGTACAAAACCTCCCGAACAAAAACACAGGAGAACAGGACGGAGAAACTAGCAATCTCTTATGTAAACAGATGCATATCAAAATCATCAGCAATAGACAGCATATGAAATGAAAACTGCATAATGTTACGGAGTAAAATGTTGATCCAGGAAGTGGTATATGTCTGTGCAAGCTTTGGAGGTGTTGATGGAAGCGATTTACTGGATTTATGCTTTGATAATCGTACTGAATATTATCCAGA